GACGGTTTTTTGTTTTTTTTTTTTATTTCTTTTCCCTTTTTCCCCCGGTCTCTCCTCCTTCTTGTTTTTTTAGTTGCCCCAAAATTGGTTTTTTCGCTTTTTTTTTTTTTTTTTTTTTTTTTTTTTTTTGCCTGTACTCTCTGGGATAATGTTTACTTCGAGAGCCTCCCTAGAAATCAGAGGACCAAAAAGGTCTTCTAGGAAGAGAAGAGTCAAAGGAGTAGAGAACCTGACTTAGGGGAAAAGGTAGCGTCCTCTTAAGGGCAGAGAGGGACCTGGTACTTAGGACAGGACACCCTACACCTGCAGCCATTTCCTCATTTTAAGTTGCTTTGCTGGATGGAACTCCGATGCTCCCACCTGCCACTGCTGGTCTTGCCGGTCACAGTTGAAGACTTTGACTGTGATGGGCTCATACTCATAATGGGCTGCTGTTGACTTGTTTTTAGTGACAGCTTTTGTTTGCTACACACCTCATTGGCTTACTTACCAACACCAGCTAGATGTGGTCCCTTCTTTCGTTTCCAAACCAGAACACATTTGGGTATTCCTGAGACTTTATAGAGTGTGTATTGTTTGTTATATGAACCTAACCTACCTTGTTGTTTTCTCATATTAAGAAATGTAAATCTACTTTGCTTTAGCGGAGCAATTTTGGTTCTTTGTGGAGAGTGAATTCAAGGTGTCTGTGACTTGAGCTTTGCTTATTTCACATCAGTAATACAGCTATTTTATCTAAATAAAACATTTCCTTTTTCTCCCACTGTGTCTGTGACTAATGGTTCCCCTCTCCCCCGCCATACCTTCAATTACTAAGAAAACAAGAATCTACTTTGATCCCTATTTTTATAGACTCTCCTTTTTAAAGCAAGAACAGATGGCGAAGAATCTGCCTTAAGAACTGCAGCATCTAGGGGCGCCTGGATGGCTCAGTTGGTTAAGCCTCTGCCTTCAAGTCAGATCATGATTCCAGGGTCCTGGGATCAAGTCCCACATCAGGCTTCTTGCTCAGCAGCAAGCCTGCTTCCCCTATGCTGTTTCCTCCCTCTTTCTCTGGCAAATAAAATCTTTAAAAAACAACAACAACAAAAAAAAAAACCTGCAGCATCTAGCCTGAAGTAGAGAAGGCTGCTGCTTGGGCATCTTCAGGGTTGGAGGGGGTGGGTTAAGGGGGGAGGGAGTCCCTTCCTCTCTATCAGCCAAGCTCCACTTGGGTCTTCATTGTTTTGTGTTTTGGGGTTTTTTTTTTGTTTGTTTGGTTGGCTGGTTGAGAGTTTGTTGGTTTTTTGTTTTATTTTGTTTGCTTCTTGGAGATGTTTTTGTTTTTTAAGATTCAGTAGAAGAGAGTGTTGACAAGGAATGTTCCGTTGCCTTTTTATACCGGGTGGGGGCGGGTGTGTGAAGCCCGTTCCAAGAGAATGGTCATATAGGGGCTGGGACTTTTTCACACACAGAAAAAAGAATAAGAAAAATTAACTCTACAAGTTTGCTGGTGTTCTAGGATCATACACACATAAGCAAACATACCCGGTCAGGGTGGCCTTTCCCTTCAAGGAAGATAACATAAAGCTTAAGTCATTTACAAATATGGTCAGATGACTTCCTCATTCCCAAAGTGAAGGGGAAAATTTATCTCCTGGGGATGGAGCTGGGCTCTTTTTTTTTTTTTTTTTTAAGGTTTTATTTAATATTTGAGAGAGAGAGCACAAGTAGGGGGAGCAGCAGAGGGAGAGGAAGAAGGAGGCTTCCCACTGAGCAGGGAGCCTGATAAGGGGTCTCCAGCCCAGGACCCTAGGATAATGACCTGAGCTGAAGGGAAACAATCAATTGAGCCACCCAGTCGCCCCTGGGCTTGATTATCTTTAAAGTGGGACCAAATAACCAGTATTCTCTTTGTCTCTCCTTTTAGGATTGTTTGCAAAATGCACAAAAATATCTCCATATAGTGTGGATGTTAACTTTTGGAAGGTCCATGGATCCCTTTGAGAAAGATTTTTTTTGTTGTTTAAATACCTTTTGTGTGTAATTTTGAAGGGTTCAATAACCAGCCCTTCCCCTAAGCCAATCCATGGACCAAGTTCATTATGCCCTGCAGATGTGCATGTGCACACACACAAACACAATCATTTGCCACGTGTTTTCTAACAGGACTTTTCATCAGGGAAGGGACACTATGGTGTATGCTGAGAAGACCAAGAACTTGATGCCAGGCAGATGTGAATTTGAGACCTAACTCTGCAACATGAAAACAGTATGCCCTTGGAAACTCTTTTATAAGTGGAGGATTGTGAGGTCCATTTGGCAGTTTTCTTGTATTAGACATGATGTGGAGACAACCGTAAAAGAACTCAGTGCATCATCAATATTAATAAAGAATGTGATTCAGCCAGCAATGCAGCATGGCTCCTGGATGTCACAGTGACTTGTTTTACATGTGACACGGCCACTGTGAATTGCCATCGCTCATGCACCCCCAGCAGCTCGCTCTCTGGTGGCAGCTGTGCTTAATGTCCCACAGAACAGCAGTACCACTGGATACCTGGCCCACAGTCTGGCATACGTTTTTGGTCTTAAATACTGAACAGAGGGATGGTGAACTCATGTGTACTGAGTTGGTGTCTCTCCCCACAGCCAACCCTCCAGTTCCCATTTACGACCTTAAGCTGTTTTGCAAAGTGCCCCCATCAAACAGGGGAAGGACATTGCCCTCCTAATGACAAATGAGACACAAGGGAGCCTTGGGCTTTTTTCAGTCTTTCATAATGTGACATCCAGATGGGCTCTGGCCTCTGTGTCAATCCCACCTCCCTGGGATTAGCTGTATTTTCCTGCCCTGCCCCCAGTCCCTCCAGCTCCCACCCTGGAGAGGAGGCTATAATTCTGAAGCAAGAGGCTTGGTACTGAAGCAGTGGTCTCCATGGGCCATAGTGGGGAGGGAATGGAAATGGACATTCCTTTCAGGATAGGTGTCCAAAGGGTAGGAGACTGAGTGGTTCAGCATTGGGGGCAGGTTGCACAGGGAAGGAGCAAAGGGTACCTCCTGAAAGATGGGAATCGGAACTGGGTCACTGGTGTGGGATGGCAGCATGGGGGAAGGTAGGGGCTGCAGCGGAGGTTGTAGCAGGGTGGGGACCTCCGGCTTGGGGCTGCTGTCTTGGGCAGCAGAGCTCCTGCTCTCGGGGATGTCCAGCTCCCACAGAGGATCTGCATTCTGGACCTCAGTCTCAGTCTTGGTGACAGTGGGGGGAGGGCCTGTGTTAATGGCTGTGTTCATGCCATAATGTCGACGCTTGTTGATCCAGTACAACAGCGGGCTGTAGGTGAATGTGGCAGCTCTCATCACCTCCACCCACTCCTGGGCGCGCTCTTCCCGCCGCAAGTTCTTCCTCCAGTGCAGAAAGAGAATGCAGCCACCGGTTACGACAGAACACAACCCCAGGAAGCCGAAGTACAGTGAGACCCACACTAAGGCAAGAAAAAAAAAGAGGCAAGTGGGCTGATAACTCTAACTTGGAACCTGAGCTATTTCTTATGCCTCTCCCTAACCCAGTCATCAGCTATCCCATCCACTCAACCACTCTCTCCATTCCTCCCTTCCCTCCTCATTGGCTTGTCTCATCATTCTCTTATTCAGTCAGTGCTATGATTTCAGGCCACTGTTAGCCCTTTACAGATCAAGAAAGCTAGGTCTAGAGGGGGCATGACCTGCCCAGACTTGGTCAAGCCTCTTGTTCCCAACCCTGGACCCATCCAATCCATCTGATGTATAAGACTTATTAAAGGCAAAGCCCATCAAGGAAGTAAGTCTAGAGGTGATGGGGAACACCAGTGTCCCATCCCATTCCACCATACCCCTTACCCATTCAACTGTGATGGTTCTAGGGTATTCATTGTACCCCGCCCCCCCACCCCCGGTTCAGTAGAGAAACAATCTCTTCCCTCAATCCCTAGTTTTCTAGAGGAAAGTATATCTTAACTGCTTAGCACTCCTCCATACGGGCTACCCCCCCCATCCATGTAAAAGCCCTTCCCTGAGTGTCTGCCCCTTGCTAAGGGCACAAGGCAAGAGGCAGGGACTAGAAGGGCATTTACCACCAGGGAGGCTCAGGTCCTCCTGCTGGGAATCCATAAGGTCAAGCCTTGGTACCCAGCTGATAGCTCTGGGGAGAGGGAGCTCACCTACCCATCTGCCCTGCCAATAGAAGGCCCTGGAATACTTAGTCCCATTGTTCCTTAAAGGTGAGGTCACTGGATTCTGAGCAATAAACATTCTAGGGGCAGGGCTTGTGAAGTCTGGGGTTAATGGAAGCAAGGGACTCTATCCAATGATGTCTCATAGGCCTAGTGTGTCTCTACTGCCGGGGAATGACCCACCCACTGAACGGTCTGCCCTCCACCTCTTATGATGAGCCCACAGAGAAGCCCCCAGGAAAGAGCCCCCAGGTGTTTCAGGGGTCTATCCATGTTTCTGGGCTTCAAGAAACAGTTGATGGTTACCTGTCGCCAGTGGAGGAGTGGGGCAGGGAGCACACACAGCTTTGGGCAGCCTTGCCTTCAAGACCTTTTTTTTTTTTTTTTTTTTTAAAGATTTTATTTGAGAGCACAAACGGGGAGTGGCAGGCAGAGGGAGAAACAGCCTCCCCATTGAGCAAGGAGCCTAATGCAGGGCTCTATCCCAGGCCCCTGAGATCATGACCTGAGCCAAAGGCAGATGCTTAACCAACTGAGCCACCCAGGCGCCCTGCCTTCAAGACTTCTATAACCAAGTTGCAGGAGAAAACCTGCTCAAGGATACTAAGTGATCAGTGCCTCCATCCTTGGCTCTTACAATCTCTTTTGTTTAGTTACCTTCCTTCAGCAAGTGTTTCCTGGGCATCAGGCCCTGTAGGAAGTCCCCACCATCCACCTACATCTCTTTCCAGCCTCATCATCATCCCTATCCTTCACACACCTTGCCTTCTGACCAGACCAGACTCTTGAAAAAAGACTCGGCCTCTTCACATCTCTGGAGCTCTGCTCGCACTGCTTCTCCACCCAGGAGTGCCCTCCCCACTTCCCCCGGACTGAATACCTACTATCCTTCAAGGCCCAGCTCAGTCCCCCAACTCTGTCACAGTCATTTCTGTTGGCTTCCCTGAATCCCATCTTCTCCAGTTCAAAGGGCAGTTCCTGTCAGATGCTTGAGCCCTGGAGGTAGATGTCCCCTACCCAGCAGTCAGCATCGCAAGGACTCACCCGAGTTGGAGACTTGCCACGCCTCCTGGAGCAGCTCAGTTAGAAAGCCTCGCCTTAATGAAGCCCAAGTCCCCCTCCCTGAGGTTGCACCCCTGGGCCTAGCCCAGCTAGTGGGACCACTTAATTACTTCCCCCTTTCTAGTCCTCCAGCATGGGACTCGGGGCACTATTCAGCTCTGTTTCCCTCCAGGTTCCGCTTAAGCTCAGCTCTCTTAGCTCACTGGCTCCTGCTTTTCAGTCTTTTTGCTGATCTTTCTTTTTTCTGATTTCTAAATGCCAGCATGCCCCAGGACTGGATCCTCTACCCTCCGTCTACATTCATTCTGTCAGTGATCACCTCCAGACTCATGGCTTTAAATATTACACAAGTACTGACAACTTACACTTTCTATCTCCAGCCCAAACTGCTCCTCCAGACTTTGGACTCCTTCACCTAACAGCCTGGCTGACAGGCCTACCATTAAGGGGATTAAGTCTATTAAGTTATCTCAAAGGAACACACCCCAAACCAAACTCCCGATCAGCCATCCTCCAAAACCTATCTCAGCCTTCTCCTGTCTGTAAATGGCAACTCTGTCCTTCCAGTTGTTCAGGCCAAAAGCCTGTAAGTCACCCTTGACTCCTTTCAATTCCTCATAGCCACATTCACTCCGTTCCACAATCATTAGGTCTTACCTTCAACACGCATCCAGAATATGACCCCTTTCCCATCACTATCACTGCATTCTACCCACCACCCTCCACCACTTGGAGTACTGGTCTCCCCGTAGGGTGACCAGCCATCCCACTTTGCCTGGAACTGAGGAGGTTTCCAGGACATAGGATTTTCGATGTAAAACCAGGGAAGTCAGGTAAACTAGGACAAATTGGTCACCTTTGGGAGAGCTTCCATCCTTGCCCCTGCCTCCCTCCACGTTCTGTATTTTGCCAGCAGCCAGAATGATCCTTTAAAAAAGTAAATTAAAAAAATAAAAGTAGAGCATGTTACTTCTCTGCTCAAAGCCTACAGTGACTTTCCATCTTAGAATAAAAACCAAAGTCCTTAACCAAAGTCTACAGGGCCCAGAGTGCTCTAACTGCCCCTCCCCATACCTCTTCACGTAAGAACCTCCTTGCTATCCCACAAGCAGGACAAGCACGCTCCTGCATCAAGGCCTATGCACTTGCTGTGTCCTCAGTCTGGAAGGCCCTTCTCCCAGATAGCCAGACAGATGATTCCCTCATTTCCATCCGCATTCTGCTCAAGCATCCCCTTATCTCTCTCTCTCTCTCTCTCTCTCTCAACCTGCTTTGTTTTCCTGCATAGCTTATATCATCACCTAACCTTACAATTGACCCTGGAACAACATGGGAATTAGGGACTATGATCCCCACACAGTTGAAAATCCATGTGCAACTTTTGACTCCCCCAAATTTAACTAATAGCCTACTTTTGACCAGAAACCTTACCAATAACACAAGCTGTTGATTAACACCTATTTTGTATGTGTATTATATAATATACTGTACTCTTTTTTTTAGATTTATTTTGAGAGAGCCCATGTACACAAGCGGGGGGAGGGGCAGAGGGCAAGAGACTCAGACTGCATGCTGAGCATGGGGTGGGGGGTGCACCTGAGATCATGGCCTGAGCCAAAATCAAGAGTCGGAGCTCAACCGACAGAGCCACCCAGTTGCCCCCATATGTCATATTCTTACAATAAAATAAGTATTCTTACAAATGAAGTAAGATAGAGAAAAGAAAAATGTTAAGGAAATCATAAGAGAAAACACATTTACAGTGTTGTAAAAAATCCACGTGTAAGTGGACCCCTGCGACTCAAACCGGTGCTGTTCAAGGGTCAGCTGTTTCGTTTTTTGTCTTTCATCCTTCTAGAATGTAAGATCCATGAATTAGTAGTAATCAAGGAAATAAATACCTAATCATAACTATGTCATAACGACTACAAAGAAAATAAAATGAGGTAATGGGATAAAGAATATAAAGGGACAGCATGGATCAAGAAAAGTTCCTTTGAGGTGCCAACATATGAACTGAGCCATCAATGATGAGGCCGCCACATGCAGATCCAAGCAGAGGGATCATCAGCCAGTGCAAGGGTCCTGAGGCAGGTCTAGGTCAGCACACTCGAAGGACTTACTAATCTCGAGTCCACCACACTACTACTAGCACAGGCCAGGGCCTAGGGCCAATCTCTATGAGTGCAGGCTGGACTGAGAAAAGTCGAAGGCGCTCTGTTCCTGCCCCGGAGGAGTCCACCATTCATGAGGGGTTTCTACAAGGTAAGACCCAGACAGGAAGGACTTCCAAAAAGGCAAACTGATCGTGCCATTGTAGTGGGCTTGCTCCAGGCCTGGCCCTGTCCTGGGAGAAAGATACAGAGATGTTGATGTCACTGTGTCTGACCCCAGGAACTACCACTTGGTTCAAGGGGATGAAGAAGATGGTGGTATTGGGTCAACAGAGAGGGAGAAAAAAGAGCATTACAAGGATCAAAAACAGCCCAAATCAATACTTGTTAGAGACAGACACAGGTGTCTCTTTGGAGAGGAGGTTTGGCTCGAGGTCAAGGCAGAGGGAGACAAGGCTTTGGAGGCAGCTGGCATCTTGCAAAGAGTTCAGTCCTTGGGTAGAACATGGGCAAGTCTCTTAATGACTCTCAGCCTCAGTTTCTGCATCTGTAAAAAACAAAACAAAACAAAACAAAACAAAAAAAAAAAACAGAAAAGGCCTGCCTCACAGGATATGAAGCAGATGGTGTCCTGCACAAAGAAACACCCAGGAAAGAGAAGCTGCTACTGTGATTATAGTTGAGGAAAGGGGCTTGGATGCTGAAGGACAGACAACAACTGCCGGCGAGCGTCAAGAGAAATCTGCAAGGCAGCAGATCCGAGCGGCTTTTCCGGAGGAGAGGGAGCGCGGAGACTGCTGGATCCGAGCGGGAGGGCGTGGATCGGGGCAGACTTGGGGCGGGGGAGGGGAGGAGACAAGCGGAGGCATCCCGAGCCGCCCGCCGAGCCGGTGGCCAAGCCGCTAGCCCCGAGCCCCCGCCTCCCCGCCTCCCCGCCCCGGGGGGCCCGGAACCTTGCGCGCGCGGAACCTCGGTGCCGGAACAGGGGCCCGGCGGACCCGGAGCGCGATGGAACAGGCGCGCTGGCCGCGGGCTGAGGCCGACGCGCCGGAGAAGGAGGAGGAGGAGGAGGAGGAGGAGGAGGAGGAGGAGGAGGAGGAGGCGGGGGCGGCCATGGCTGCTGTAGCCGCGGCAGGTGGTGCGGGCCCGGCGGTGTTGCAGGTGGCTGGTCTGTACCGGGGGCTGTGCGCCGTGCGCACCCGCGCCCTAGGCCTGGGGCTCGTGTCCCCCGCGCAGCTGCGCGTGTTCCCGGTGCGCCGCGGCTCGGGCGGCCCCGCGGGGGGCGCCGACGGCAGCGGGGTCGGAGCGGAGCTCGAAGCCAACCCCTTCTACGACCGCTACCGAGACAAGATCCAGCAGCTGCGCAGGTGCGGACCCCGGCCGGCCAGCGGCGGGCGGGGAGGGGCGGCGCGCGACCCGCGTTTCTGGTGGACCCCACGCCTTCAGTGCTTAGAACAGCCTTGCGAAGCAGGCTCCGTTACTGTCCGCACTCTGTGGGTGATGTGTCTGTCTGTGGGCTCAGAGAAGCAGGATGACTTGCTAACATCACACAGCTAGTCCCAGAAATGAGAGTCTCTGCAAAGTCCTGGCTCTTCCCCGAGTTGTCTGTGCTCTAGTTCTCAAAACGCTGAGGTGGAGTCCTGTGTCAGCCTTAATGAGGTAGACGGTTCCAAGAAACCTGCCCTGATTATAGAAATGGGAACATAGAGTCTTCTAGAGAAGGGACTTGACTTGCTCAAGGTCACATAATTGAGTCACTGAGGCCTGGCCTAGAGCTCGGGTTCCTAAGCTTCTAGCTACAGCCCTGAATACAAGGAAAGGAGGTTGGGGGAGAGAGCAAGGCGTCAAAGATTTATGGAGTCACAGATCATCCATTGAACCCTCTCATTGAGAGGGAGAAACAGAATCTGCAGCAAAGACCTGCCAGAGGTCACACAGCTCCTTGGGATTCATCTGATTTGGAATCCGGGGTTTCTAACACTACTCCTCAGCTTCCAGATGAAAGGACTTGGAGATCAAGAGGCTTGAGGTAGGTACAAGGGGACCAAGAGAGGGTCTTAAGAGTTAAAGTGGAAAGAGGTGAAGAAAATTAAAGGTGAAAATTAGAGTGGCTTTGAAGAGAATCCGGCAGGGTAGGCAAGCAGTTGTCTTAGAAAGGAAACCAAAAACTGCATACCGTAACTTCCTTGAGTTCTGTCTCATCTCTACTTCCATGGCCTGAATGTACTTCTCCATCGTCTTCTGGACTCTTACAGTCATCCTCTAGCTAGTCTTCCCCTCTTCCACCCCAGTCCGTCTCACTGCTGCTGTGGTGACCTTCCTCCCTTTTTGAAAAAACTGACAGAATAAAGGAATGAATATTTTTGCCCTCTTTCCAGCAGCATTCAAATATACTCAAGGATTTCTCTTCTTTTTTTTTTTTTTAAAGATTTTACTTATTTATTTGACAGAGATATAGAGATGACAAGTAGGCAGAGGGAGATGGGGAAGCAGGCTCCCCGCTGAGCAAAGAGTCTGATGTGGGGCTCGAGCCCAGGACCCTGAGATCATAACTTGAGCCGAAGGCAGAGGCTCAACCCACTGAGCCACCTAGGCGCCCCAAGGATTTCTCTTCTTTAAAACCTTTTGTTGACCTACATTCCCCTCCGGCCTTTTCTCATTGATCCCTTTCACAGGCTACATCTTAGGAGAGTTGTCTACTTATACTCTGGATACTTCACAGTTCCCACTCATTCCTACTCATGAACCAACGAATGGCTGGTTTTATTCTCCTTCCCCACCAGATCATTCCCATCAATATTTTCACACACTGCTGTCTCAAAGAGTGAGCATCCCAAAGCACCCTCAATGACTCTAGATAATGTCCATATTCCTTAGTGTTCGACACAAGGTTTTCATGCTGTAGCATCTGTCAGTCTCTCTACATTCACTAAAACCTGGGCCCTTGGAGCACCAGCCACAAGTTTGGTGTGAGCCAATAGCAGGACAAGGCTGTATGCCCTCTTCACCCCTTCAGCCCAGTATCTGGATTTTTGCATCACACTTTGCATTGGTGAATTGGGAATATTTGATCTAGGTGCAGGCCCACTATATCTAGAGTGTGGACAAATTGGAGGGTGTCCAAAGAGCAGGTTTACAGTGAGGAAGTACTCACAAATCACATGTATGAAGAAGGGCCAAAAGAACTAAGGAAATTTAACTTACAGAAAACTTTCAGGGGTGTCATAATAACAATTTCCAAGTACTCAGATAAAAGGGATTGGACATTTTTTCTTGTTCTTGAGTGTGAAAGATATAGATGAATAGATTTAAGCTCAGAACATTTTAATAATAAAAGATGTCCAAGGTGGGAATGCACAGACTCCAGTGCCTAGGCCACCCCTCACTCTCTATCCACTCACCATGGCAGCCCAGGTTTGACTGTGGATGCTTGCAGCACTAACCCTGGTCCTGGCATTTTCAGCCCCAGCAGGTGCCACACCCCATGGGATAGGACCCCTGGAGTGACTGCACTGAGTTGCTGGCCTGCTGTGGAGGGAAGGAAGAAGATCTGCCCATGTGATGGCATGAACGGCATAGTGTTCAATGTCACTTCTGGAACTGATTTTTATGAAAGAGGGGCCCCATTGTACGGTCAATGCCTTGACCAGGAATCACTCCACCAGAGAAGTGATCAGGATGTCCTTGGATCCTGCAGACTGCACCTGTGACACTACAGGTCTCATGGCCCAGAAACTGTAATCCCTGTGTGATGTCTTCACCAAAGTGTACAGTGCCAAAGATCACATCATTGGCTACACAGCCTGAAGAATTCTTTTTTTTTTTTTTAAGATTTTATTTATTCATCTGACAGAGATCACAAGCAGGGAGAGAGGCAGGCAGAGAGAGAGGAAGGGAAGCAGGCTCCCCGCTGAGCAGAGAGCCCGATGCGGGGCTCGATCCCAGGACCCTGAGATCATGACCTGAGCCGAAGGCAGAGGCTTTAACCCTCTGAGCCACCCAGGCGCCCCAGCCTGAAGAATTCTTAACAAGGATGGCAGCCCCGACCTGGACTTGGGCCGGAAGACCAGCTTCGTTTTGACATAAAGGACCAGTTCTAATGTTTCATCTGCAGGAGCCGGTTCTTTGGAGAGAGAGTCAGGGAGAAACTCAGGTGCTAAATCTTTTCCTACAAAATGCCTCTAAATTACCTGCATCTAAATAAACAGATGTTTAACCTTTGCATGGGCTGAAGAAGATGTCCAGAGCTAGATGTGTTCATGTAAAAGCTTGACACCGGCTAGGCTACTGGATTTCTGCCTGAGTAGGATGACCAAGCGAGATGGTTTCAGAGTCCCCTTCCCGTCTTGAGGATTTGAATTCCAAGTACCCAGAGTATTAGTACCTGAGGGACCAAGGTTTTCATCTTCTAAGAAGTAACCTGCAGGAGAAAAATGTTATGCAGGCCCCTTGAAGGTTAACAATAATTAAATAACTGGATTTATTTTTCCACTTTCTTGATTTATAGGCAAATCCTTCAGTCTTTGAATGCTTGTGTCCTCTCTCTCTGAGGATACTTGAGGGTACTTGTATCTCTCTTGAGGATACTTGTATCTCTCTGAGATACAACATGATACTTTGTTATTTCTAAATTCAAAAAGTCCCAAACATTTTCACTTTTGGTTTACCTTTAATCAGGTCTGACCCAGCTGCTTTTGAATCCCGACTGGAAAAGCGCATTGAGTTTC